AGGGAGCTGGGAAGAGGCCGCATGTGCGAAGGAATTCCTGCACCCGCGTGACCGCAGAAGCAGCCTAGTGGTCGCAGAAGCGGAAGGGAGTGAGGCAGGCTGGAGGCGCAGGTGCGAGGCTTGTGCCGCACCTGCGAGACCGCAGAAGCGGATTCTTGGTCGCAGGTGCGACTCCACAGAATCAGAGTCTGGTCTGCAGATGCGACGACAGGGGGCTGAAGGGGGACAACAGAAGCGGTATTTGTGGCCGCACCTGCGGAACCGCAAAAGTGGTCAATTGGCGGCAGGTGCGAGAGGTCGCTGGGTAATGTGTTCTTTTAAGAACGGGGTTTGGCCCATTTTCTCTCATTTTCACTTGGTTGGGCGATTTTGGAGAGCTTCAAGGGGAGGTTTTTATCAAGCAACACAAGGTAAGTGATTCCCACCTATTACAAGTTAAATACATGATTTATATGTGGATTAGAACATGGGAATTAGTAGAAATTTGAGATTTTGGTAGAAAACCTAGACTTGGGTATTTTTGGATTTTGACCATGAAATTGGACATGGAATTGAGAGTCCGAGGTCAAACATGTTTTTATCAAGGACGAGGTATCTAAACTCCTTAAAATAGGGTCTATTCGGGAGGTTAAATACCCGGATTGGTTAGCAAACGTAGTGGTAATCCCTAAAAAAGGGGACAAATTAAAAATGTGCGTAGATTATAAGGATCTGAACAAAGCATATCCCAAGGACTCTTTCCCTCTGCCCAACATTGATCGCATGATCGATGCCACAGCCGGCAACGAGACCCTTAGTTTTCTCGATGCATATTCCGGGTACAACCAGATACGGATGTACCCGGATGATTAGGAAAAAACCTCATTCATCACTAAGTACGACACGTACTGCTATAACGTGATGACATTCGGATTAAAAAATGCCGGTGCCACTTATCAACGCCTAGTAAACCGGATGTTTGAGGAAAAAATAGAAAAATCGATGGAGGTTTACATTGACAATATGTTGGTTAAGTCCCTGCGAGAAGAGGACCATTTAAAACACTTGCAGGAAACCTTTAGCATATTGAAGAAGTACAATATGAAGCTGAACCCGAAAAAATATGCGTTCGGAGGCAGATCAGGTAAATTCCTCGGGTTCATGGTATCCAACCGAGGAATCGAGATCAACCCCGACAAGATCAAAGCTATCGAAGATATAACGGTCGTGGACAACGTAAAGGCCGTGAAAAGGCTAACCGGGCGCATAGCCGCCCTGGGGCGATTTATTTCGAGGTCGTCCAATAAAATCCATCGATTTTTCGCACTATTGAAAAAGAAGAACAACTTTTCATGGACTCCGGAATGCCAACGAGCTTTGGAGGAGCTAAAGAGGTACTTATCGAGCTCGCCGCTACTTCACACACCAAAGACAGACAACAACTGTACTTGTATTTGGCGGTCTCGGAGATAGCGGTAAGTGGAGTCCTAGTTCGGGAAGAACGAGGTACGCAATTTCCGATTTATTATATTAGTAGGATCTTAGGTGAGGTCGAAACTAGGTACCCTCACCTGGAAAAACTGGCGCTCACCTTGCTAAGCGCCTCCAGGAAGCTAAGACCATACTTCCAATGTCACCCCATATGTGACGTAACAACTTACCCGTTAAGGAACGTTCGATGGCCCACTTGCAATATGTCTAGGGCCGGGGAATACTGAGTACGTTTTGAGGGAAATCCACGAAGGTACCTGTAGAAATCATTCGGGCGCCGAATCACTAGTTCAAAAAATAATCAGAGCCGGTTAGTACTGGATCGACATGGAAAAAGACGCAAAGGATTTCGTTTGAAAATGTGATGAATGTCAAAGACACGCTCTGATGATTCATCAACCTGGGGAGCTGCTGTATTCGATTTTGTCACCATAGCCATTCATGAAGTGGGGAATGGACATCGTTGGCCCCTTCCATGGGCACCTGGTAAGGCTCGGTTTATATTATTTATGACTGACTACTTTTCTAAATGGTTGGAAGCCCAGGCATACTAGAAGGTCAGAGAGAAGGAAGTCATCAATTTCATTTGGGACCATATCATATGCCGATTCGGGATGCCGGTCGAGATTGTATGCGATAATGGGAAATAATTCATCGGAAGCAAAGTAACCAAATTCCTTGAAGATCATAAGATCAAAAGGATTTGTCGACACCCTATCACCCTAGTGGGAATGGACAGGTTGAATCTACCAACAAAACCATACTCCAAAGCCTTAAAAAGAGGTTAACCGACACCAAAGGAAAATAGAAGGAAATGCTACCTAAGGTCCTATGGGCGTACCGTACAACCACGAAGTCCAGTACCGGGGCCACCCCGATTTCTTTGGTTTATGGCACCGAAGATTTAATACCAGTCGAGGTCGGAGAACCAAGCATCAGATTTCGATATGCAACAAAGGAATCAAACGATGAGGCTATGAGTACGAGCCTGGAGCTATTAGATGAAAGGCACGAAGCTGCCCAAAAATAGCGGATCGAAAGATATTACAATCGAAGGGCCAACCTTCGACACTTCAATACAGGGGACTTAGTACTAAGAAAAGTTACACTGAGCACCCAAAACCCTAACGAAGGGAAATTAGGGACAAACTGGGAAGGATAGTACCAAATTATCGAGATCACCGGAAAAGGATCCTACAAGCTCGGAACAATGAACGGCGAGCAATTACCGAACAACTAGAATATAACTCACTTAAAGTGATATTATAACTCACTTAAAGTGATATTACTGCTAAGGTACGGCCCCGATTCTTTCTTTTATTTTTACATTTCAAACTAACACTAGCAGGTAACCAACAAGGGATGATACGAGATCCTAGGTCTGAAAGTACGCATTGTACTCTTTTTCCCTTGAACCGGCTTTGTCCTAAATAGGTTTTCCGGCAAGGTTTTTAACAAGGAAACAAGTAAATCGTGCTAACTTATAATTGAAGTTCGGCTACGAACTGGTGACAATGATCACAACAGCATTCGAGGCCTCTCTTCGGCCAGTCCCGAACACTGGGGGGGCAATACCCTCGGATATTGACTTTAACAAGGAAAGAAACTTTGTAATTGAAGGGTCTCGATCAATAGAATTTATTGTAAGAGCCAAATGGTCAAATAAACCATGCCCACACAGACCGCTCGAGCCCTGGCACAAAATATGTATACATGTACAACTATTGTGCACAAGAATAAAAAAGAAGACTCTTCCTTGCACATAAACATCTTGTCCTTTAAAATGTTTCTTGAATTTTTCAAGGAATTTCCTAAAGCTATCGAGCCCAAGGGCCACCTTAATCCGAGTTCGAACATTCACTCTCACTTGGGGACTGCCGACCAAAAGTAATCTCGAGCGGTCCGAGCTATCAGATCTCGGGGGCACAAGACCTATTAGGCAACGCCCGAATTTCAAAGGCCACGGCCACCCCCACTCGGGGACTGTTATCTTAGGAATGCCCGGATAACTCGGGATAGCAAGCCCACTGGGCGACGCCCGAACTAAAAAGGTTACGGCCATATTAACACAGCTCGGAGACGTCCGAGACTCGTAACAAAAACAAGGCCTTCAAAAAATTCTTTTTTATAACCGGTCCTAAAGGCTACCCTCGGCAAATCATAAACCTAAACTATTTTGGGAAAAGTTTTCAGTAACACTGAATCCCTACGATGCCTAAACACAAAATAATGTTAAAGGCAAGGTTTGTTTGAACCTTAGAACACAACCTAATTATTTTATGTTAAGGCATTTCGACCTTTGCGAATACAAATAAAAAAGCAAAGGAAAAATTCAAAAGCTAAGAAAGGGAAAAGCCTTAGATATACATCAAAATTTCTTTTTACAAGAGTTGAATAGCCCCGATACATATTTTTACAAAAGCCAAACGGCCTCAACAAAAAGATAGTACAAATAACAAAAGGCAAAAACGCCTAAAAAGATCCTAAAAGGCCTAATCTTCATCGGGGGCCACATCATCACCTACGAGGTCTTTGCCACTATCGGACTCACCCAACTCTTCAGACCCCTCAGAATCTTCCTCGGGATAAGCCAGCTTCCTAGCCTTGGCTTCATATATCTTGGTTGTCTCGATTTTATCCAATAAGTCAAAACTCTGAGCATGGACTCCCTCAAGGGCCTCCCTTCGGGATTGCCACTTCGCATGCTTCACCATGTTTCTCGCTTGGTCCTGAATCGCCTCGGCATCGGGCTTGTGCTGGGCTACCTTATCATCGGCCTCGGCCCTGACCACGGCAACCTATGACTTGGTCGCCTCAAGCTCTTTGGCCAGATTCTCTTGACCGGAGATAGCCGAGCTCAGCTAAGACTAAAGCCCCTCAATTATTTTGGCCTGCACCAAGTTTTTCTCATTTGCAGCCCGAAGTTGAACCTCAGCCGAAGCCAACTGAGCCTGGACAGTCTCCTTCTCTGAGGCCAGGCGATCCATGTTCTTCTTTTATTCTTCGGCCTCAGCTTTGACCGTATCCACCTCCCCCCGAAGCTGCTCTATTTGGTCAAGATTCTTTTGAACCTGCGGGTTCGGATCGTTATCCACTGTGTTTGACTCATCATGACTAACTTCAAAAAAATTTCTTACCTGCTCGACCAGGTCGGCATGCTCCTTCCGAGCCGCTTCTAGCTTAGCCTGGGATTTCTCACTAAGAAGCTTGTAAGCATTCTTCTTCTCAGTAAGCTCCCGAGTATCGAACTCGTGACGTTTGAACTCTTCCCGGTATCAAAGAAAAGCCTTGTGATGAAGTACCGATGCCTGCAAGCATAAAGGAAAATGTTACGATTATTTACGACTAAATCTAAGTACATAATAAAGGGACATACGAAGTTAACTGATTCAACGCCGGGGAATACTGAGCTCGATATTCGATCGAGCTTCCGAACTCCCTGATTAGGCCAGGGTCAAAATATCTGTGATCGGGTGAAGTCGAGCTCGAAGATCGATCTGACGTCTAACACCATCAGCCAAGATCGGCACATGGTGATTATAATTGAACCCAAAGCATTGTCAAAGTTAGCCATCGAAACCATCAGATTTGCCCTCGAGTTTACCAAAGGCATAACCGGTCCTGTTTCTAACGGTCTCGAAGAAAGCTTTGCCAACTCATCCGGCAGGGGTCCGTAATTCTCACCATTAACCAATTATTATGGCAGAAATCACGGAACGAGTCAAAAAGGGACCAACGGTCAGCAAATCATGGACTTTTGCCTTTTATAGAACAATAAGCTAATATCTTAAAAGGTATGTCTCCCCTAATATATAAATGAGACTTAACAATTCATGAGACACATTGTAACATATACTTATAAGCAATACATTCTCTGAATTCTTACTCTTTGGTATCTTTGTGTCAACAAAAGTGCATTCATTTCAAGGGTGACTTGCTTACCTAAGCTGAAATAATCCAATTCATGTGGTTTACGGTTAATTTATCATTATTTATTTCAATTGCAATCTAATTTATCGTTTTGTATCAAGTTAATTCGCATATCCTTTAAACCACTAACAAATTCAATTGTTATCCGATTCTGAGGGAAACAAATATATCATAAGCTTTTGCCTGGTTGACAATATTATCTTAGCACATGAGTTTATCCATATGTTGAAAAATGAGAGAAGGGATAATACAAAATATATGGCTCAATGACACAAATGCTTTAATTGAACAAGGTAAAAGAATCCATGACAACAATCTCAAAGGGTAAAGTAGTCATAATATTATGAGAACAGCTCAGTTCTACTGTCATAGACGATATCATAGACGATATCGACTCAAAGTAGTAGGTATCAATTTGGACTTTGGACTTGACCTTTTTTTTTTCTTTTTTTCTTTTGCCCTTTAAACAAAAATACAAAGCAAAAACCAATAGTCAGACTCAATCACCCAAAAAAACAACGATAAAGACAAAAGCACTCCATAAAGACAGAAAAAGTCCCTCGATTCCCCACGTTGACCCTACTCCTTTCTTTAAAGCCCCAAATTCTCTGTCCACATCCGTCATTCACCTATTTCTCTATACCCAATATCGTCATTTCACGATAAATCTACCACCTGACTTTGGACTTGACCTGGCTTATTACGTGGACTCTCAAAACCCCATTGCCAGGTTAGTGAAAACTTTCCTCAAGAGCTATCTTTTCGTCTCACAATTACTACGATTCAGTCCCAATATATAACGAAAATTCATTATAAATTGAAGTTACCAAATTTATTCGGAGTTGAAATCGAAAATATGAAGTTACCCAAGCTCTTATAGTCGAGCTTTTTGCTCTTTCTGAAATGAAAAACTGAAACAACTAAAAAAATAGCAGTCGTCTTCTTCTTTTTTTTTTTTTTTTTTTTTTTTTTTTTTCACTTTCTTTTGGTTCCTTTTTTTCAAATTATATTCCCCTTTTAACTTCATCAGCCCGCAAAAACAGTACAAAAAACTACTCCACTCTCTCTCCCTCTCTCTCTCTAAAACTCTACATATATATATATATATATATATATATATAGCTTTCTCTCTCACTTTCTCTCACTATATATCTCTCTATTTCAAAAACAAAAACCCAGTTTTCCATTTTCACTAGGTTTCTCTTTGTTTCTGGAGTTGGAACTAAGATATATATANGAGGGTTTTCACAACTGTTTCCGTGTTTTAGCCCGGCGGTGAACCGGGGTGAACCGGAGGTGATCTTCACCGGGAGTGAACCGCTTGATGAAACCCTCGGCCATTCCTTCTGTTATGTGAGGTCATCCGCTCGGTTTATCTCTCCCACTCACTCAGATCGATTTGTTTCGCCTTCTCACTCGTTACGCTTTGATGAACCGGCTCCTCCTCCTCTTCCGAGGCCTAGACCACCCGGTGCAACTGAAACCGGTTTTCGTGCCATTTCTGGGGCTTCCGTCAGTGCCAACACTTCTACTCCTAGAACTGTCCTTCAACTTGACAATTTTTACGACGATGCCCCTGGCACTGATAGTCTTGTGGGTTTTAATATTGTTAGGGGCAGTGTTGTAAATGGTTTCGAGAGTACGTCGTCGTTTAGTGCTTTGCCGCTTCAACCGGTGCCTCGAGGCGGAGTCGGCCCCGAGCCGTCCGGTCCAATGGAGAGGGCTTTTTTCATGTCCGGTCCGATCGAGCGTGGAGCACTGTCCGGTCCACTTGACGCTACCGCCGGCTCAGACGGCGGCGGAGGTAACCAAATACCCTTCTCTGCTCCACTGGGTGGCGTTTATGTAAAAAAGAAGAGGAAGAAGGGCATTTCGGGAATTAGAAAAGCCTTCTACAGGAATTTCTCGGAGAAGAAACGGCCGTGGGTTGTGCCGGTGAGGAATTTCAGAAAGGACATTCCGGCCGCGGCAGCAGCAGAGTGTACACGTGATTCGGATATGGGTAGCAGTGAATCCAATGTCCAATGGGCTCTAGGTAAAGCGGGGGAGGATCGTGTGCATGTGGTTGTATCGGAAGAGCATGGCTGGCTATTTGTTGGGATATATGATGGGTTTAATGGCCCTGATGCCCCTGAGTTCTTGATGAGTAATCTTTACAAAGCTATGTACAAAGAATTAGAGGGTTTGTTTTGGGACAGTGATGATACCAGTAACAACCCACAAGGGGCAGGAACTCTAAGTTCTGAAAATGAAGTGATTGCTGAGAATTCGAGCATACCCAATTCGAATCCAGCACCTGAGGCAACTATTATAGAGGTTGGTGGAGTAGAAGACGGTGAGAATGAGGTGGATAGAGGGCAGTCAAAGAAGGTGATGTTTCAATCAGGGGAGATAGAAGTTAGGAGGAGGAGATTGTGGGAATTTTTAGCAGAAGAGGAAACAGAAGATGGGCTTGATCTTTCAGGTTCAGATAGATTTGCATTTTCAGTAGATGATGCATTAAGTGTAAATAATGCAGGTTCAGCAGTTAATAGGAGGTCGTTGCTGTTGTCCAAGTTGAAACATGGATTGTTAAGTAAGCATAAAGAGAGTAAGAAATTGTTCCCATGGAAATTTGGATTGGAAGCTAAGGAGAAAGTCGAAGTGGAGGAGGAGAATAAAGTTGAGGAGGAAACGACTAGTAGAAGCGAGAGGAGGAGAAAGGCAGGTCCGGTTGATCATGATTTGGTTTTGAGGGCAATGTCCAGGGCTCTTGAAGTTACTGAGCTGGCGTATTTGGATATGACAGATAAAGTTCTTGATCGATATCCGGAGCTTGCACTAATGGGTTCTTGTTTGTTGGTTGCTTTAATGAGAGATGAAGATGTGTATGTAATGAATGTAGGAGATAGTCGTGCTATTGTGGCACAATATGAGCTTGACGAGGTTAGTTCTGCTTCAGAACCCAAAGGTCGGTGTAATGGCGGGTCGACTATTGAGGGAATTGTTGAAGAATCCACAAGTGCCTGCAATGAGGAGACTAAGGTGACAAACGAGGCACCTGTTCAGGCTATGAAGCTGACTGCATTGCAATTATCCACTGATCATAGTACTAGTATTGAAGAAGTAAGGTTCCTTGGTTCTCCTTCTATGAATCATTCAGTTATTTATGATGCTTGATTAAATGTTTGACGTTTAACGTTAGATAAAATAATTCTTGCAATAGTATTTGGTTGCAAGTTGGTTGATTTAATGTAGTGGCCTCCTTGGTTAGCGCCTTATTGACCTCTTTGGTTATGGGCCTCTCGTTGCATATATGGATTTTATTAGTTTTCATTAAAATAAAAGGTAAGTACAAGTGTAAAAAAAATAAAAGAAAGGAAAAGAAGAATGAGTGAATGACAACAGAAAATAACATATAAGGTGAAGAAGAAGATAAAAAATATGAGCAGCAATGACTTTCCATGTTTGAAAAAAAAGAACAAGTTTTTTGCCTTAGGCTTTCTTCAAATCTATATATTGATCATATAGTTCGGATTTTTTTACTCTATTAATCTCTCTGGTTCAATTTTGTATGACATTCTTTTCATTTTGGGATGTCCCTGAATGTTTGGCACCATTCAATTTTTATCCAAATTTCACTACTTTCAAGAATTTCCATTAAATTATTCAAAATTTTAACTTTGATCCAATGCTTTCTCTATCAAACGAAATTATTAACCATTACTTATTTTTCTTCTAGTACTACTAATATTTTAGATAAGTCAAATGAATATCATAAGCTTTGCACCAGTGAAATACCTTCATATAAATTGGAATAGAGGAAGTGTAACTTTTGCGTTTAAGCGTAGAAAATTAGTGGGGCTTTCTCCACATCTGAAGACTTGCCCCCTGCCCCAGGTAAAAGCTGATACCCCCGCTTTTTAAAATGGGCTCCGGTTCTTGCAATATCACTGGATGCCTTAACTGCTTCGCCTAAAAGTTTAAGCAGTTAGAGAAGGGACACTTCCAACAACTACAACATGAACAACTATGCTCTATTTCCTAGCAATTTGAGGTCGGTTATATGAATCCTCACCTATCCATATCGCTCGATTTAAGCGCATATCATCCCCTCGGACCCCTCCCCCTGGAGAAGGACTCTTCCACTAATTTAAATTAGGTCCACAACAAATACAATGAGGTTTTGGAAGAGTTAGCAGAAACCTTGCCAGCTAGGCAGTGGGATATATTGCTCCAGTAACCAGAGGTCTGCATTATTCAAGCGAACTCTTGTTCAAGCGAACCAGCATGCGTTTGTGCAACTTATTTTAGAGAGCCTCTGTTATACATGAATAGACTTGTTGATGCAATCCCGTGAAAGTTGGCTTGCATGGTTATCCTGTAGAGAAAATAAATAGAGCATTATATGCCAGGCTGTAATCTAAAAATAAAAGCGGAAAATCAAGTGTTGCAGATAAGGAAGCAGGATGGTATGCTTTTATAGACTCTGCAAATTGTGCTCATTAGTCTACCTCTCCTAATATGATTTGCATACATTTAAGAGTTAGTATGGTGAATCCCCCCTTTGCTGCCTGCTATGAGGTGGATGTTTTATGTTCGACGTTGTTGTGCTATGTTAGTTTTATGTTTTTAGAACATTAACGGTGAAACTAATCTTCTGATGCTGTTTTATTATAATATTACTTGCTATGCTTATAGCATATATCTTTCTGTTTATGCTTTAACAAGCTTTGCTTCTTGAACTGATTTTTTGCCTTTGACAATATCAGGAAATTATTAGAATTAAGAGTGAGCACCCAGATGACAGCAATTGCATTGTTAATGATAGAGTAAAAGGTCGTCTGAAGGTCACTCGTGCTTTCGGTGCAGGCTTCCTCAAACAGGTTGGTATTTCATTTCTCTTTCTTCATCCTGGCGCTTAGTCCCAAAATCTCCTCCTTTGCATCAAATTTCACAGTTTGGAGGCACATAATATCTTTTGGAACAGCATACAGTATACTCTCCTTGACATATTGCCATCTTGTGCTACTGCCAACTTTGACATTTCCTATCTGCTGTATGATACATATCTTTGCATTTTTCATGCGGAGACTTGAATCATATTTGCTTTCGGTTTTTTGGATGCATAACTCTGAGCTACATAAATTTTTTTTAACATTTTTGTTGCTAATCTCCATAATATTTTCGATTATATGTTCGTACAGCCTAAATTCAACGATGCATTGCTAGAAATGTTTCGGAATGTGTACATTGGCCATGCTCCTTACATATCTTGTACACCTTCGTTGCGTCACCATAGACTCTGTCCAGGTGATCAGTTTTTGGTTCTCTCCTCTGATGGCCTATACCAATACTTGAGCAATGAGGAAGTGGTCTCTCTTGTTGAGAATTTCATGGAGAAATTTCCAGATGGGGATCCTGCTCAACACCTGATTGAGGAGCTTTTGTTCCGTGCAGCCAAGAAAGCTGGTAATATTCCTGTCCATTCTCCGTGTGTGGAGTTAAGGATAAAATGTAACCTTCCATTTTTTGGTAATTTTATGCCTCGCTATGCAATGGAGGTTGTGATGTTTATTTATTGCTGAGTACCTTGAATTCTTGCATGAAAATTTTATCTGCAAAATCTGTCAGATCTTTTGGTCCTCTTATACATCTTGCTGTTATCTGTTAGATGTTTCACTTTATTAGGTTGGGACAACTAAATTCTACCATTCGGATAACGTAGGCAGTAACATAAAATTATGTCTAATATTGCTTAGTTTTAATTCAGAGGCTAATTTTGTGCCATAGCTTAATTTCTACTTATCGATGGCAAAAATATTCTCTAGGTTTGAAAAGCTTCTTTTTATCATTTGCAGTGCTGATTAGTTTTGGAATTAGCTATTTATAAAATTCCCGCATTTTCTAAAATATTGTTTTAAACTATTTTACAAAAATCATAGAGCTATATGGAGCAGGTCTGCTCAAACCAATCATACCTCACCTTGATGGTTGGGTTTGACGAGTATTGACGATGTCTCCTACAAAAGAAAAAAGGGGTCTTCCTCCACTGATGCTCTTTATTCTTAGTGATGGTCCTTGCCCCGTGGAAAAGGCCCAAGCTCTTTCTTTTTTAAATGAGAGCAAGCTCACATCTTCTGCTTAACGTTCCAGGAAACTGTAATCCCAAATTTAGAAATAAACCAATTTCAGGCCTTGAAAGTCTTCTCCTTTTCACTTGCACTTGCATTCTGCAACTTATGCAGTTGTGTGCTGTTTTTTGGTGGCATCTGTCAGAAGTTTCCCAAAAGCTGAGCTTGTAAACCCCGTTTGAGTTTTCAGGAAGTGTTTGTTTCACCTGTTTTTACTACCAAAAAAAGCTAACTTAATTTTTTGGAAAAACTGATAGTGTGATTACAAGGCATCAAGCAACCCATTACCCATATGCTTGAATGTGTTATTACTACAGTAATGGTCAAATCCTTCCTTTCCTTTGGCTGCAATGGGTCTGGCCGTATTCGAAAATTTGAAGCTTGAGTACTATATCGCCTTTTCTGATTGTGTTTGCTATACAACAGCTTAGAAATCTCTTCACCTCTGCATTTGTTGTGTTAAAAAGATGCATGTTTCAAATATGTTGTGTTGTATGCATGTTTCAAATATGTTGTGTTGTTGCAAGTATGTAGCAGCTATTTCACGGGCTTACTGGGGCTTTGATCTTAGTATGCCCTGCATCTATTAATTTCATGCTTAAGTTTGGTGGTAACACTTTGCCACCATGTCTTCTGCTACAAATGGCTTTGGCCGTCTCAGTAAACTTAAGAGGTTAGAGTACTATGTTGCCTTATGTGATTTCTGTTAGCTATGCAACACTTGAGAAATTTCCTTTCACCTTTTTTCCCCCTTTACTTCCCCGCTCTTTGGGATAGCAGGAATACTAAAGATCGTGGCATCTCTCAGTTCCTTTAGCGCAAGCCATTACTTAACAACATTACTTATATAGTAAATCCCTTCTCTTCCTCAAGCTAGTACCAAAAAGCCTATTCCAAAAGCCGTCTTTCAATGCCTGAATGCATGTTTCTAATATATTGCAGTGATGCAAGGTATGTTAGCAGCTATTTTCACAGGCTTACTGTGGCTGTGATCTTAGTTATATGCCCTCACTCTTAAGCCTAAGCTCATCTTTCACTTATCAATTGTGCGCGCTCTTGGGTTTCTGGAATACTATTAGTGGCATGCTTATATAAGTTTCGTAAAGCCTATGGAATATGAAGACTAATAAATGCTTAGGCTCCATCCATCATGATAACATTCTTGGCAGCTTCATACTTACTACTTTTCTCTACATGCCCTTGCATAGATCTTAGTGGTTGGGTAAATCTACTCGAATATGGACCAATATAAAAAAGTGTAATCAAATTTGGTATCATGGTTATCATATGCTGGGCCGTCTATATGAATCTTTTTAGGACAAGCCAGACACCTGTTCTCAAAGTGGATTTAATTTTTGTCTGCAGGAATGGATTTTCACGAATTGCTGGATATCCCTCAAGGAGACCGCAGGAAGTACCATGACGATGTTACTGTTATGGTGATATCTCTTGAAGGAAGAATTTGGAAGTCGTCAGGCAAATACCTCTGAGTTTTTACAACTGCTGGCATCTGTGCCAGAATTGTTATCCATGTATAGTGTGCTGCTGCAATTTTGATCTTTTTGAGTTGAGATCTTGGGAACAGCCACGAAGCTGGATTTTTGGGCGTTTTGCGGATCGTTTGAAGTCAACATAAGCACAGTGGTCTGCTTATCCTCTTGACAAACAGCCAAAAATAGTGCAAGATATTGGGGAAGGCTCAGTGGGCGTTTACTTCACTGAAAGTAGAACTTCTGTAGTTGGGACTGCTCTCCTAAAAAGAAAGAAACAGGATCATTTCATTTATTTCCTTTTTAGATTTTGCATAGAGGGTACTTTCATTCATTCAATTTCGTTCTTTCTTTTCTTTTTTCTTTTTCTTTTTTGTGTCCCTCCTCATCTCTACTTTTTAGAGCCAAAGTGCTTGTAATCAGGTTGGTGGCTTAGTCACAGAGCTTTAGGCGAGAATCTGTATTTTGGAGGTGGATTTCCACCAATGCAGTTTACAGAAGAGAGAATTGTTGTTCATACCCTTGTGTAAAATTCGTCATACAAATGGGGCAACAGGAAAGGAACACCAGATATATTTATGCATATAAGTTCAATACTTTCTAAAAGCAAATGGCTACGTAATTTCAGTTACCTAACATACATCAATCAAGTTTATTCCAACCCACGTTCCTAATTACTGATCTCAACTAGGTGAAATATGATCTATGCAGTTGCAGCAGCCTTTGATTGTACCCATGATACGACATCTTTGCGAGTTGCAATGAAGAAACCAGCCTTTTCTTCACTCTGTTTGAAGGGAGCAGATAGCTTCTCCACATGAGAAGCAAAGGCATTTGCCAGACCCTGTGAGAACTTGTGAGTCCCTGCTCCAGTGTTAGCCGATAACACTTCTGGCAAGGGTTCTTGACTTTGCACAATTCTAGCCAGTGTTCCCATCCATTCTTCAAATGCAGTTTGAGCTGCACCAACTGATAGTGCTCGGACATTCAATCGCCACTCCTCTGGTGTCTTAGTATGTAAACCTGGGTATAGTCCATATACGGTTCCCAAGTACAGAAGCTCATGAGCTCTCTCTGGGCGATTTCTGTTTCTGCATATATCAATTAGACAATTACAGAAGGGCCTTCTGGCATCATCTGATGTATTGCTCAGTATGGACCGGAACTCTTCTTTCACAATGTCAAAGCTGGTGGTCTCATCTTCTAGCAGCTTGACAAAGGATACCAATCTTGGGTTAGCTTGTTGCAGACAAGCAAGGACCTTATCTGCATCGTTGCCCTTGCAATAGGACACAACCGAGAGCAAGCAACCACAAAGTCTGTCATCTGGCTTGACTCCTCTCTCTACTGAAGCTTCGAACACTCTAACCAAATCATCAATTCTTTTTGCTCTTCCAAAGCACTGAACCAAACAAGTGCATCCCATAACGTTAAGCTCAATCCCTACTTCAGACATTTCCTCAAACAAAGCCATAGCTTTCTCTGCATTTCCTACACTTCCATATATGTTAAGCATTGCTGTATAGCTCCAACTATCAAGTCTACAGTGCTCCGACCTCCTCATATCATCAAACAGCGTCTCGGCCTCTTCCTCCAACCCAAGATCAGCACACATACTTAACAGTGTATTGTACAAAATGAAGTCCATAGGCCATCCATTAGACTTCATTCTTTCCCAAAGTTCCAAAGCATCTCTAGCCCATCTTGCCTTCCCATAAATCTTGATCAGTGCTGTTAATGTCTTGGCATCGGGGCGAAGCCCTGATTCCACCATTTCCTCAAACAGACTCCTAGCCAAACCAGGCTTCCCAGCCTTTCCCATTGCTTCTAACAATGTATTATACACAACCAGATTAGGTTGCACCTCAAGTGACTTCATTTCTTGCAACACAAACCTAATACCATCATAATCCCCAGCAGCACCAAACACTTTAGCCAACACAGCAAAAGCAACAGGGTCAGGAGTCCACCCGCTAGCTCTACCTCTCTCATACAAGCTCATCACCTCCTCAACCTTCCCTAACTGAGCATACACATCCAAAACTGCAGAATAAGTGACTTCATCAGGCATCAAACCAGTCTTATACATCCTTTCAAACCACTCCACTGCCTTGTCAAAAAGATTACACCTTTTGGCACAAGTGATAATAGTAGAATAAGTAATATTATCCAACTCAATCCCACTTTCAATCATCTCATAAGCAAGTTCCTCTATCTTTTGAAACTGCCTCCCAAACCTCAGAGACTTGATAGCAACATTATAAAAGATGGTTTCAAGGGGAAACAAATTCTGGGTCTTGATCCAATTGAAAAAAAGAAGAGTCTTTTGCCAAGGTCTCAAGCTATTAAGCACCAACAAAGCATTATCTCTAGTGGGTGGATGTGGGATATCTTCAAGAACAGCCAAGAAACCATCATCAGAGAAATGGCAATCACTCAGCCTCCTGGCAAAGTTCTTAAGGTCCCTAATTTGAGGATTGTAAGAGTGAGAAGACCTCTTCTGACGCTGTAAAGATAGCACAGAAGGTTTAGGCCTGGTGGGGTTCACCCAAGTGGACTTTGGCTTAGAAAGAATTCTTGCCTGGTTTGGTGGGTCATCAAGAATGGTGTTGGAAAGTGGCTTTAGCTGTTCAGAAAGAGATGGGTTTTTTCCTGGAGAATCTACAACATTTGGTGGAGGTTTTGGAGATTTGGAAGTAGAATAGCAAAGAATAGTGAATCTTTTGATGGCTAATCTTGATGAAAATCCATAAGGCAGCTTTGTGTCTGAGGTGTAAGGTATACTGCAATGGATGTCTAGAGCAGTGGAGAATTTTGCAGCCATAGAAAAAGATGGAGAGAATTTCAAGGGAAATGCATCTATATGGAATTTTTATTGGATATTTTGGAACCTTATCTGGATTTCAGTGACTACTCGAGTCTTGGTAGCAGGATATTTCCCTTCTCTTGGAAAACCCCTAATACGCTAAAACCCTACTAGATCTGTTCGAAAATTAATTTTGGAACTTAGGAGATTGAAATTCTTTACTAAATGGGCTGTCTGATGAATTTGCAAATGGGCCAATAGTTGTTCTATTGGGCTCTTTCTCCAGGGACTCAGTCTACATAGCATGAGCTTGCCAGTTTTCGGACTGGTAATTAAAAAATAGTCAGCATTAAAAAATAGTCAGTATTTATAAAGTTATTAAAAAATAATTATTATTTTATGCAAAGATAAAATCTGGACAAAAATACCTTAGCTGAAACACGAAAAGTTCTAACATAATATGTTGGATTATGGAGATCTTGGGTATAAACTTTCAGCATATTATGTTGGAACTCTAGTACATTATGAAATTCCAGAACATTATGCTAGAATCTTATAATATAAAAAATTTAAACTCCAGTATATTATGCTCGAACTTTTTCAAATTTCTAAGGGTGTTTCTGTTTAGATTTTGTTTTTACATGAAAAACTGGCTAAATTCCAATTATTTTTAAAATTGTGCTTTTACACTTTTTACATGATTAAATTGGAACTTTCAGCATATTGTTATTGCTTTTACATCTATTTTTTCGTTGCTTACTATGTTGATACTATTTTTCTGGCTTCTGTTGCTGTCACTGATCTATTGTCTATTGTCTATTATTTATTTTCTTCTTCTTGAGCCGAGTGTCTTTCGGAAACAACCTCTCTACCCATCCGGGGTAGGGGTAAGGTCTGTGTACACTCTACTCTCCCCATACCCTACTTATGAGATTTTACTGGGTTGTTGTTGTTGTAGTTATAAATTAGAATATTTGTGATTTTTTTTCCAGGGACCCATTGTTCAGGGGGAAGTGCACAAATACTGTTTAAGCTATAGACAAAGTTCAACCTTTTATTTTTTTATATTTATTTTTATATTTATCCACTTTAAAGATATATGCGTTTGAAGTTTGACTTGTTAAAGCCTAACCTCACACACAATTTTCTGAAGTGCGTCTCAAAAACTTCAATCATACATTTTTGTCTTAAGTTAGGCTCGTAGTAATCAACTCCAGATATTTTTGTCTTAAGTTATATTTTATAATATCCTAACTTTAGATATTTGTCTTAATTTAGACTTTGTAGTATCTCAAACTTTAGACATTTTTGTCTTAAGTTACACTTTATATACCCCAATTTCTAACATTTTTATCTTAAGTTAGGTTTTATAGTATCCCAAACTTCACAAATATGTGTATTAATTAGTTAGGCTTTATAATATTCAACTTTAGATATTTTTGTCTTACGTAGGCTTTGTAGTACTCTCAACTGTAGATTTTTCTTTTAAGGCAGGATTTATAGTACCCCAACTTCATATGGTGATCATATAGTTGGTATAACGAGAGAAGAATACTTTAATGGGTAGGTGGTGTTTCTGATATCAAGTCAGCATGTAAGATGAATGCTTATTTTTGATTGTTCAGTTACAGAATCTTGTTAGTGGAAAGAATTTGAAGATAGACAGAAGCATCCACCTGGCTTACGTGAAAGCAATTCGATCTGCTCAACACTTCATTTGCATAGAGAATTAGTATTTGCTTGGTTCTTCACATTTTTGGCCGACTAATCAATTTTAAAATTCGTCCTTGAATCTTCTACTGCTACAGTTGTGCCTAGCAAAGCTTCATATTTCTGAGAAGAAGAGAGGAAGGAGAGGGGGGAGGGGGAGGAGGAGGAGGAGGAGATAGAGCAGTTTCATTTTGTCTGAAGTTTACCTACAGGGGTATCAAAACATTTTGAAAAAACATAGGTTCAGGTTGAATGGGTGACCAAATAGGACATCCCGTCAAAAGTTTACCGTTATTCTCAGAGATAATAGTTTGAAATTTTTACACAAATAGTCAATTAAATTTACTATTTATTTTTTCTAGCCGGTAACTATACATGGATTATATATAATTTTGGCTTTCCTAACAAACTTGTTTAGACACTAGGACGATAATCCAGAAAGTAATGAGTAGCTAATCTTTTCCATATCTTTTTATTTTTTATTTGCACCAGTTAGTAACAACTGCTTGCGAGTTTGTTAAGAAGGCAATTTTATTTCTTTTTATTTTTCAGGAATCCAAATATATTTATATTAAATTGGCCAACAATCAAAAGTTTTAGATACTTTGTAGGAAATGAGAGAGTAAAACGTTAATTATTTTCAAAAACCACATGATTAATGAAGACAAATAGAGCAAATTATCTAATATGGGAATTTTAAGACATTCACAGAAAAAACAAAAACAAAGGACATTCCGGTGCACTAAACTCTTGCTATACGCGGGGTCCGGGAAAGGGTCGGACCACAAGTGTCTATTGTACGCAGTCTTACCCTACATTTCTGCAAGAAGCTGTTTCCACGGATCGAACCAGTGACCTTCTGATCACATGATAATAACTTTACCAGTTCCGCTAATGCATATACTTTATGAGCCAATGCATCCATAATTGGTATGAATTCTTGTACGCTTGCCAAAAAATGTTGAGTTTGTTTTTAATCTTCACAGACCATACAAATTTCT